GAGCTTGTCAACGCAACGTTTAGTTAACGCAAAATATTCAATTAAGACAACAAGAACTTTCATACGATGCTATGGTGGAATTTTTCTGGAAATAAACTAAAGAAAAGAAATGAAAAAAAAGGATTTTAAATAAATATACGGAATAAAGTTGAAAAAATTTTTTTCTTTTTTTAAGTTGTTCTTAACATTACTTCTTCTTTTGTTTACTCTTTGTTTTGCCTTGGAAGGGAAACTATTTTCTTCGCTTTGCTTTAGATATTACTGTCGTTGTTATTTACTGTTGTTGTTTGAAATTCTTTTTACTATGGAATACCAGCTGTTTAGTGTTTTTATAAACTCCTGCTGTGGTTTCGAAAAATTCTTTTAATATCATGTTGCTGTGAAAATAATTTTATGTTAAATATGCTGCAAATTTGAATTTTGCGGTTAATTTAATTTAATTGTTTTTTGTATGCGTTTTAATTCAAAAAAAAAAAAAAAAAAAAAAAAAAGTTATTTACATGTTTTGCGTTCTTTGTTTTCGTACTCATATAATTAAATTTTTAATGTTTTTATAATTGAGTAAAAATAATAATCAGTTCTATACTATCAGGTGTGAATTATGTAAACGCCCATATGTCTGGAAGGATGTTAACATTTTATTTAATTTATTTTGCTTATTTTCAAAAGTTTGAAAAAAAAGATTTCAAGTTTTGCACAAAAATCATTTATTATTAATATTTAGGAATATCAATAACGAAGAAAAATCATAGCAAAAACAAAAATATAATACAAGCGAGAAAATTATGTTCGGCTGCGACCGACTCTTTTATACCCATCACCTTTAGCGGAAAAAACGTCTTTAAAAAAAGGAAACACTAGATTTCCAGACAGTGTGACACATTGCGTATGCGTGGCTAAGGTTTTTTCCATTTTTATAGAACAAAAGTGCAGATGTCAATATGCGTCAAAAAGATAGGTACAGAAAAAGTATAAAGCGTTGTGAAAATCGTATATCTTCTGTTGATGCTCGAGAGTCCGTCTTAAATAGTGAATATATTTTCCATATTTTTATTCCGATTGATATGGTGGGCATGGAAGACTGATGAAATTTTTTTTTTTTTAATGACTCTGTTCACGCAATGGATTGTTCTCCATAGGTAGTCTAGAAGAAATTGAGAAAAGAGAGTTTCTAAAGGATATGTGCCCTATGGGTAAATATTATACATTTGCGGACTGAAAGCACGCACAAACACACACACATTATAACTATGGCCAAGTATTGTCAAATTGCGCACATCGTCTTTCGTATACTCCGTTATGCAGAGTGCGCAGAGCCCAAGGCCGGCTGATATGGTTTCCTCTGATCATTAGCATAGTATTGCTCTTCTCTCTTCAATATGTCGAGACATTTGCGCGCAGCATTATTATTTTTTCATTTTTACAGGAAACAACGAGTGGACTTATGCTGGGAATGACATCTGTAAGAGATATGGCCGAATTGCTCCGACGGAAAGACGATACATTTAGCTTTCCGTAAGTAGAAAGCTGTAATCTATTATCAGCTGTTAACCCGTAAGTTTCTGATTAATGCTATAATCCAGCTGAAAATATATTTTTAACTGAATTTTCTGGGATAAATATCTGTAAACAATTTAAAGAATAAATTAATTTTAACGATTCCGGACACTTTTCTTATAAAAGAATTTGTGCTTTGGAACGAAGAGGAATATGAATGTGCAAAAAAATACAACTTGACATGAAAGCTTTTGTAAACTTAAGGCGACTGGTTTATTTGCTTTTTTTAACTGCGGCTGAAAGGCACGGTATCTCAGTGTTGTCTTATTTTTGTAGCATTTAGTGTTAACTTAACTCAGAGAAAGACACCATCAAATGAATAAATATAATAATTCGTTGAAAATTTTTCCGTCTATATGATCCCTTTTTCACTCTTTTTCTCTCTGTGGAGCTATCGGTCCAGCCGGTATGCATAGTAAGACTCAAAATAAATCCAAAAACCAAGTTTGAGAATTTTGCTATCTTTTGTCTGTTAACCAGCGTGCAATAGAAAACTTTGCAATTATCATATATAAGTGAAAGTTGTTTCTAGCAATCTATTGAATTATTTATAGTTAGATGTGATATCTGTGTCTTCAGCTTAAACGCTTGATATCATCCAGACTTTATATGTTGATTACCGAGATTTCTGAAACCATTTCAATACCCATTTGTTTAAGCCAGACACATAGCTTACGCTTATCCTGCTACGTTCGTGGACGTCTCTAATTTGTCTTTTGATTCTTCACATCCCCGTTTCGTGCCGTTTCTTTTCATTGTTAACGCTTTTAAATATTTTTTGCAAATTAAATATATACGAGAGACATTATTAAATAATTTAAAAATATAAAATGAATATTCTTGTAGAAAACTTTTGCAGCGTCTATAAATTCTGTATTGGACAAAACTTGCTCGACAGCTTTGTCTTTTGAGGTAACTTTTTCAATTATAATTCAAATGTTAATTTTAACATTGTTGGCGGTGCTGTGTTGTTGGCTTCTAACAAAGAAACTAACTTTACTTGACAATGCCAACTTGTAACAAATATGCCTGACAGGCATTATCTGCTATGTCAATCGCGGGTGTAACGATAAGGTAATAGTTTGTTAATGCTCATCAAAGAGGATGTGTTGAATTTATCAAATAATTGAAACGCGTTGCAATATCCTTGAAAGAAACACATATACATAGATTCTTCATGAACGTACGTGAATAGCCGTAGGTCCATCTTTTTGGTTTTTCGGTTAATTAAAATCGCAATCACGTTTTCGTACTTTTTATAGCCATCATCGAAGAATGAGGAAAACATTCATTTTGTCAAGAAGTTTGCAACGCCCAGAAGGAAGCTTCAGAGTCCCCAAAATCTATATATATTCTTGATCAGCATCAAACTCTGAATCGTTTTAGGAATGTTCGTCTGTCCATCCCGCCGTCTGTGTAAAATCTACTGTAAATATTATCCCGGCCGCAAAAATGAAGCTATCGCCTTCAGGTTAGTATAGAACCTGGGCTAAATGGGTCGGAGGAGATGCGCACAGTAAGCCGCGAACTGAGAACACCTCTGGTTTTCAGAAGGAAAACAGGATCGTTTTTTTATCATTATTCGCAAAATAAAGCATTTAAATATACAAAAATTTGAATGTGTATTTTATCGGTGATGCTGTAGCTATCATGCACAAAAAAGGGAAAAAATTGACCACGTCTAGCTTATATTATAGTGTATCAAAATCAAAATTAAAATTTTTCTTCAATACTTTTATAAGGCGCAGAATCAAGCTTCAAAATCCCCGTAAAGTATACACGTTCCTAGTTAGGCTCAAATTTGAAACGCATCTAAACATGTCCGTCTGTTCGTCTGTCCATCTGTCTGTCCGCGCAACTGTGTAGTATTTGTAGTAAACATTCTACCGCTAGCGAAAACGAGTACATTGCCTACAAATTTGCAAAACTGTTCGGAAGTGTCCCAAACTTTTTAAGGAAGACGCCTATAACGTTCATACGCCTCTGCGACAAAAACTATTATTTTAAAAATCAAAAAAAATTTGCCTCTCCTACTCCATATGCATGCAAACTTAGTTCTTCTACTTTTTTGTCTATTATTAGGACAACGGTGATGAGTGTAAAACATTCGGTCGCGACCGAAAATAATTTTTTTACTTGCTCAACAAGGAAAATCACTATAGTTGGCCACGGTGCCCTACTAAATACCGCCCACTGCCATACGTTTCTTCAGATAACCGCTTTTCAAAATAAGAGTTTATAGGAGAAATGATCGAAAACGTGGTCCGATCCGAACTGTTCTCGATAGCGTTCGTGTTTAGGCCAAAACACTTCCAGATATCAAATTTCATCGAAATGCTTGGAAAATTGCAGCTTGCGGGTTGAATATAAAAAGGAAAGACGGAGAGATAGACAACAAACTTGTGTTGCTTTAACTACTGCTTTGATCGGCATAATAAAAGCTTGGTCTATCTCAAGTGTTGCTTGCATCCACACTCTCAACATATCCAAAGAGAACTCTACGACACATGAGATTTGAACCCGCTTACTCTGACTTGGCAGCCGCATTCCTAACAAACTCGTTTATTGTGGTGACTTTACCTTTGCGGAAATAACTTAGCAGCCAACCTGGTTTAAGTGTCATCGCGATATATAACCTACCGACAGGTTTTCTCAGCGAGATTCAATAACAAAAATTTTTTTTTCTTTTGAAAAATGTCTCCTTTTCTCAATAGGTTCATTGCCATGCACGTTTTAGTAATTATTGTTTTCGTCCATTAGATTCTATAAACCGGCGAAGCAATAGCTGGATCGAGGGATTCACATGAGTTGAGCAGTGTCGGTATTAATCTCGTTGTTGTAGGATTTCGACGAGCTAAGATGGTAAATGTAACACCTAGGACTTTGCAAAGTAAACTTTAGCATTAGAATTGGGAAAGAGTTTCTTTTCATTCTGAGCTCGTTTCAGAAGATTTCGTGGTAACTGTTATTAGACAAAATTGCGAGAATGTTAAATATTAGCGAAGGTGGATACGCCTGGGTAGAGAGAAGCAAATGGACCATTGCTGTTACTCATTCCCATTTGCTATGGCTCTCGAAATGACGGAAATTGTCCCATCGTCCGAGTGGAATTTACGGAACCGAAAGTTATCTCTTATAGTCTTCATATGCCGATCTCTGAGCAAAGCAAAACAGACGACTTGTACATTTGTATTAAAAATTTCCAGCGCTCGAAGTGTTCTGTCTGCCGTTTATTACAAAGTAAAAAATTGTTGCTTGACATCGAGCAATGATTTTAAAGTTGGCCACCTCCGTTTTGTCTCAATTATCTAAGACTTGTCTTCTTGATTAATACAAGTTATGTAAATGTTTCTCTATAAGTCTGCGAATAGTTTTTGCCGTTATAAATAATTCATTCATTTATTCAAAATCTTATAGAAATTTCATGTTTAATTAACTTAAACTAATATTTAATTGATTTTCGCTTTGAAATTTTCAATTTTCTTTGTTTTTAAATATTTCATAAAATCTTTTGTGCTGCTGAAGCTCTTTAATGTTTGTTTACCAAAATGTCCATTAATTTTCGACATTACATAATATACAGGGTATGCGCCTGGTGCCAAATGAATAGGCGCAGAACCTTCGGCTACATCACTGTTCATACGATTATAGAGGAAATTAAGTTCTTTACGACGCTCAAGCAATTTCGGTTTAAGAAATTTATCTTCCTCTGCTAAACTCTGTTTAACGCGCATATCTCGGGAATTCAAATATTTAGGTTTACTGGGCGGTGCTAAGAAGGTTTGAATATTGTACAAAGAGGAATTTTTAATAGATATTCGATGATCTTCGCCTAAGGATGATCCTTTTAATGTATTGACCCGTAGTACTTTTTTAGGCGAGTTTTCTGCGCTATCTGGTATAAGATCGTGGCTTATTAGCAAAATTTTCGGATCATGGTTAGCAGTAGTAAATCCTTGTGGACCGTTTGCTGACGTCAAGTGATAACGACTTGATGCGATCAACACGATAATAAGAAAAAACTAAAAGCGTACAGTTGCGTTAAATTTAGACAAATCAGGTTAAATTAAAGTAATTCTTGTAAACTCACGATTGTTGACACTTGAAGCATTTCTAGTTTGTTTTGTACAGAATCGAATTTTCACTGAATTCAAAAACTTTTTTTATTTATTTAATTTTTAACAAAGTTTTTTTAAACTTGTTGTTCCTGAACCTATTGTTCAGCTAGTAATGCTGCTACTGAAATACTAACAACTGATTGTGGTTTATTATTAGTATCTTGTTGTTCTAAGCTTAATGTTGCATTTATAACATGACTTAATGACAATCAAGAACAATTTCTCGTTTTTCACTTTTACGTTTATAAAGTTTTTGAAAAAAATTTCTCTTAATGGCATCCAGCATATAGTTATAATCTGAATACAATGCAATATTGTGCAAATCTTTCTCTCTCTCTCTCTCTCTGTCTCTCTCCCTCTCTCTCTGTCTCTTCACACAAGACTATGCTTGCTGCGCTTAAATGATTGTGGAATCCAGTTAACGTTGACAAATGATGATTATTCGTGTTAGACCTAACGCCCGCTCACAAGATTTGGGAGAACTAAATATGGACAAAGTAATCACCCAAGAAAATGTAAAATTTAAATTATTGATTCTCATTTTATAAACCATGATCGTGTCTCTGTCAGCCTTGCGGAAGTTCACTTTATAGACTTGCTTGAGCGGTTCAACTTTACATTTATCGTAAAACCATTACGAGAATTTAATTTTAGAAATAAACGAATTCAATTAAAACGTAATAAAAACAATTACATAATTGAAATTTTATCTATAAATAAGCATATTCATGCATGCATGCATGCATCTATAAACTAATGAATGCTGTTTTTTCCTACTTTTAATGCCTGATTAACGCGTCAATGCACTGTAAGCTATTGACTGAATTGCAAAAAAAAAAAAAAAAAAAACAATATATTAGATGAAAAAATTTTAAATTAAAACCAGTAAAAACGATGTAGTCAAGCAAAGCCGAACATTCAAAATCGTACGCTAATTGACCTAATACTGCTCTTCATTTATTTTGGTTATAAAATAAAAACGTTACATCTTGTTTCTATTTGAAGGCGTATTTCTCATAGTGGCTTTAAAAATAAATTTCTTGTTCAAGATTTCACCCTTCCACACTTATTTTCAGCGCAAACTACCAAAAATCAATCTCTGTTGCCACATTAAGACCCTTATATCAGAAGAGGCCGAAAACAGGTAAGAACATTACCGTCCGACCAGTAGATACCCTACATGACTACACCTGGTACAATTTATCCATTGTGTTCGTAATAATACCCCAAATATAACACGTCATTTTCAAGCAAAGACGTACTATTCGTGAAAGCTCGCAGATTGAAGGACCTTTAACCATAATTTACTTCCTAAAAATATTATTATTTTTCAGTTTCCGTCATAAAAATCTAGAAATTAGACCTTCTGTCCACGTAACAGCTTCAAACCTATATATGTTAGGATCTAAAAAATAGATCGTTGTGATCCAGATAACCTACCCGTAATTTTTGCGCTAAGTTGCTACTGTAGACCAATTTTCATCATAAGATAATAAAAATGAAACTTTTTTCAGAAGGGCTTGAGGATGATTTTTTTCCAAATCTACTCTTGCGAATCGGTTTTCGCCATAAAATATTGAAAATTATATTTTTTTACCCTGTAAAGATTCAGTTTTCATAGGACCGGTTATATGAGAAAGGGTTCAAAAAATTTCCTAAGCCGAACTAAATTTTCCATTCCAACTTAGAACGTCGAAATGCTATTACTCAACGACTTTTGTCGGCAAATTTGAAAATTTGCAAATTTTTTCCATATAACAGCTTTCTAAAATAGAGCGGCATAGGGGCAGTGCCTGAGAAAGTGGACCGATCCGAAACATCTGTAATATCGTTCGTCTTTGGGCCAAATCCGTCGATTTTATCAACATATCTCATCATATGTGAATTCACTTTTGTCAAAAAGCGTTCGTCAATTTCGCATCTAGTTCTTTGGCTAACTTTTTAATCACATTTCGCAACTCTGCACAAGACCCACCTTTTATTTCGTCGATCGATTCAGAATCATTATCTGAATTGAGTCTATGTAAATTTGAGTTCAAGCTACAGGTCGCAATTTTTTGGATATTTTGACATTCGCCCAAGGACGAATGTTATTGAAAATGGTTTGGATAGGTCCTCTTTTTCGACCACTCCCCTGCCTTCTTCTCTAAAGTCGTTATAAGGAAAAAATTTTCAAAATTTCTCGACAAAAGTGGCTAAGTCGTCCTATTTCGGCATTCTAAATTGGAAACTTTTGAGCATTCTCTCATATAACGAAACCTGAAGTTCATACGACAAACAGGTATAATTTTCAATACTTCGTTATGACACTTATATCATATTAGAAATTAAAATAAAAATATTAACTGTATCAAATTTGGACCATCTCAGCCAATTTTTTGAATCGTACACTAATAAGGATTTTCACGAAAATTGATTCTTTATGGAGCAGAAAAGTTTAAATTTTAACAGGTAGTGATGAAAATTTACCTATGAAAGTAATTTTATATAAAAATAAGAATTGTGTAGACCATGTGGTATAGGATATTTAAAAGTCGGCCTTGCCCGACTATGAGGTTAATACTTGTTTATTTTAGTTTTAATTTTTTTTTCTTCACTGATTTATTTACATTTTTTTTGCAATTCCATCATATGTCGCGGCATTCGATAGTTTTCAGGTATAATTTGAAAAAGTATTCAACGCAATACAAAACATGTAAAAGTTGTTTAAAAGTTCTATGAAGATTTCTTTTTCATTGTTTAAAGAAAAGAACAAAGCATACGCTTTCTTGAACAATAACAATAGCAACAACAAGTTATCAACAAATTTTCCACTCTATTTATTAAACGAGTAAATTGGGTTTCTGACAATTTTCTTGCCAGAACTTTTCATCGGGTTTCTACCGCTTTCTTCAGCTATACGCATTTCCGAGCTTATGTACATACATACGTAAGGAAGGCAATAGCAACATCGATGCTTGTATGTCTTTATGTGGCGTATGGCGTGTAATAAGTAAAATAACTTGAATTCTATGGAAAAGTTGTAAATTGAATTTAAGCAATAAAGTAGAATATATCTGAAGAGCAATATTTATTAAGAATAAAATACATACAAGAACTCGTTAGCGGGCAAAAGAACAGTAATACAATGCGTAGCATGTTTTAAAACACTGCTGAATAATCACAGGGAAGAAATATTTCAAGACATTTACATGTCTTCTATTCCCCTAAAGAATTTACTTTCTTTCAATCTCTGTTTTTCTCAAAAAATGCTTAGAGCAGAAATGGATTGAGCTAGAACTGAGCCAGCCGAGGCTCGAAGGCAAAAAATGTGGAAAACCTGTTATGAGACTTTCGCCTTAGCTGCGGCTAACGCAAAGTTTTTGTTATAACAAAAAGAAAAAGTTTTTTCAGACAATGTTTTTTCAAATAAAATTTCGCTAGGGAACAAACAATGAGGTCAGTATAAACACGAAACTAAAAAAGAGTGAAAGAGAAAGCTCACAAAACCAGAAAAAGTTGCATATATTGATATACAAAATTTTGCAAACTATTTCAAATGAGTTAAAACAGATTCTCTAGAACCCTAAGTATTGATTTTCAGAGAGACTAAATAACTGAACCACATTCATCTTTCCTAAATACGTGGCAAACGACATGGAACGATTTTGCGCAGGTGCGCTAGACGTGGGAACCTATGAATGTTTTCGAAAAATAGCCTACAAGGCAATGTGGAAGTGAGGATTACTTTCTTACGCAAATTGTTTGTGATCATGGCTGTTTCCGAAAATACCTTTTCAGATTCGGCCATGGTGATGATCCCATTTGCTCACATTATTTCGTCTTACAAAAAAAAAACAAGGAAGAATGTGTAGTCAAGCAAGGCCGACTGTTAAATACCCTACGCCACATTGTCTAATGCCATTCTTATTCTTATTAGAGAACACAAAAAAATATATCTTGTTTCTATATAAAAGCACATCTTGCAAGTGGGTATTCACGGGGAAGCGGGTCCAGAACGCAACTTAATGTAGTACAACTTTAATCCTTACATAGGGCAGGATCCAAAAATAAGCGTAAACGGTTCAAATTTTGTAGAGTTCATTGTTGTATGAAATTACTATTATGAGTCAATTTTCATCGAAAATTGTGCCGATCCGAACTATTTTCAAAGCGTTCGTCTCAAATATCTCAAAAATTGCGACCTGGAGCTTAAACCCAAATTTACATAGACACACATCAGACGGACAGACGTACCGACAAGCTTAGATCAATTCAGATAATGATTTCAAATCAATCGGTATAACAAAAGGTGGATTCATTTTAAGCCCTTCTGCATGTTACATTCGACTGTATTAAGTTAAAATACCCTGTAACACAAGTTGTGTAGGGTATAAAAAGCGAAAGGCGCTCCGTCTTTATGCTCATGAATCAGTGGCGGGAGAATAGAAACTGAAGGCATTATTAGTGGGCAACTTATATTACAAAACCTGATTTCGCTCATGGTTCTTGCGACTGATCATATCATTCATATACAATTATGGTCCATCATACGATATAAAAAGGACCTGAAAAGTTTATGAAGGATGCTACGAAAATATGGGGCTTCACAAGCATGCATAAAGCACCTAAGCCTGAAGATACCGAACTGTACTTTAGTCTGTCTCCAAGAAACTTTAGATTTTCTTCCCATCAACATAAGCTAGCGTTGGGTATTGACAAGTTCAATCTAATCCGTATAGAAATTTTCTTTCGATTTTTTACATGAAAATCTATACAAAATGACTTCAATTTTTTTTCTTTGTTCCTTTTCGCCTTTAATTTTGGCCAATGTCACAGATGTCATGTAACTTTTATATACACTTTTATACTTTCAGGGAGTGAATGCCTAGCAAATATGCTAAAAAGAAAAAGAAGAAGTATCTGAAGACTTGGAAAGTAAACGAAAACCGAAAAAAGACAAAAAAGAAATAGAATAATAAAGAACTGAAAACTTTTCCCCAAAGCAACATCAAGAAATAAGTACCAATAAGAAATAAAACACAAACAAATAAGTGCAACAGCAACAACAAGAACAACAACAACAACAACAGTAATAATAATGACAACAACAACAACAACAAACAGGAAGACGAACAAGAAGACGCGAAACTTAGTACTGTAAGTGCATTATTTCCGGCTTTCATAAAACTTTTTCGATGCTGCTGTAGTAAATAAATTTGAAAAAGAAAGGGAAAAAACATTCGCCCACATCTATATATATAGAAATATCAATATCTATAAGCGTATTTGAGTAGAATAAAAGTAATATTCTATGTACAGCAACAATGAATGATAACAAAAGTTGACAAAAAAAAAATTTACAATCATTTTGTAACAAGCGTTCGAGT